AATTTTTTTTTTTAGGCATTATAGGCCAGGAAAATATCCCTTATGATATTCTAGAACAAAAAAACGCCTTTCTAGGCTTTAAAAACAAGAAGTTCAAAAAGTCGAAAAATTGACATTTTTCCAAAGGGGTTAACCCGTGGTTTTGGTCCAAAAATGGCCATTTTTTCAAATTTTTTTTTTAGGCAATATAGGGTAGGAAAATGTCTTTTATGATATTCTAGAACGAAAAACGCCTTTCTAGGCTATAAAAAAAGTTAAAACATTTGGATTTTCTTAAAGGGTTTAGTCCATTGTTTTGGTCAAAAATTGGTAATTTTGCCATTGTTTTATTTTTGGCAAAATACGCCAGGAAAGTGTGTTTTAAGATATTCTAGAAAGAAAAAAAGCCTTTCTAGAGTATAAAAACAACAGGTTGAAAAAAGTCGAAAAATTTTGAATTTTCCAAAGGGGTTAGTCCATGGTTTTGATCAAAAATTGCAAATTTTTCCATTTTTTTATTTGATGCAATATATGCCAGGAAAATGTGTTTCAAGATATACTAGAAAGAAGAAAAGCCTTTCTGGACAATAAAATCAACAAGTTTAAAAAGTCGAGGAAAGGAATTTTTCTAAAGGGGTTAGTCCATGGTTTTGGTCAAAAATTGGCAATTTTTCAATTTTTTTATTTTAGGCAAAATACGCCAGAAAAATGTGTTTTAAGGTATTTTAGGAAGAAAAAAATACCTTTCTAGAGTATAAAAACAAGAAGTTAAAAAGTCGTAGAATCAGGATTTTTCTTAAGGGGTTAGTCCATGGGTTTGGTCAAAAAGTGGCAATTTTTCCGTTTTTTTAGTTTAGGCAAAATAGGGCAGGAAAATGTGTTTCACCATATTCTAGAAAGAAAAGAAGTCCTTTCTAGCCTATAAAAACAACAACTTTAAAACTTCTAAAAATTGGGATTTTTCCAAGGTTAGTCCATGGTTTAGTTAAAAAGTGGCAATTTTTCCAGCTTAAGTTTGTATTTTAGGCAAAATAGGCCAGGAAAATTTGTTTTACGATATTCTAGAAAGAAAAAAGGGGTTAACCCCTTTGGAAATATCCAGTTTTCGGGACTTTGAAAAATGAACATTTTTATAGAAAAGAAGGGCATCTTTTTTATCTAGAACAGCAGTTTGTACATATTCTGGCTTTATTTCAAGGAAAAAATAAATTAAAAAAATATTGAATTTTTTGGCCAAAATCATGGGTTACACCTTTTGGAAGAATCCAAATAAAAATAATAATATTAAATAAAGAAAAAATTGAAATTTTTGACCAAAATCATGGGTTACCAGAGAGTAGTCCAGAAAGGCTTCATTTTTGTCGAGAACATCATGCAACATGATTTTTGGCCTGATTCAGTTGTCTTTAATGGTAGGACTCCCTTCCAGGAGACAGTGTTTATGGCTCTGTAATAAAATCTATTTGCTTCCCTGGTAAAATAAAGAAACACACAAAGCAACTTTCACTCTCAGTTTATTGCTGTCTTTGTGAGTAAGATTAAATTTAAAACGAAATGCAAACAGTTTCAACGCTTATTTTTGGCAGTCAAAGTTCGGTAACCGTTACCTGAAATGCGGTTGGGGAGCAACAGCTGGGTTAAAAACCTGTCCATTCGTCCATTTGCCTCTAGGAGGAAAACCCCAGGCCAGCTGTACCCCACTTCAAAGGTATCCTGGGCTTGACCAAGAANTGTATTTTAGGCAAAATAGGCCAGGAAAATTTGTTTTACGATATTCTAGAAAGAAAAAAGGGGTTAACCCCTTTGGAAATATCCAGTTTTCGGGACTTTGAAAAATGAACATTTTTATAGAAAAGAAGGGCATCTTTTTTATCTAGAACAGCAGTTTGTACATATTCTGGCTTTATTTCAAGGAAAAAATAAATTAAAAAAATATTGAATTTTTTGGCCAAAATCATGGGTTACACCTTTTGGAAGAATCCAAATAAAAATAATAATATTAAATAAAGAAAAAATTGAAATTTTTGACCAAAATCATGGGTTACCAGAGAGTAGTCCAGAAAGGCTTCATTTTTGTCGAGAACATCATGCAACATGATTTTTGGCCTGATTCAGTTGTCTTTAATGGTAGGACTCCCTTCCAGGAGACAGTGTTTATGGCTCTGTAATAAAATCTATTTGCTTCCCTGGTAAAATAAAGAAACACACAAAGCAACTTTCACTCTCAGTTTATTGCTGTCTTTGTGAGTAAGATTAAATTTAAAACGAAATGCAAACAGTTTCAACACTTATTTTTGGCAGTCAAAGTTCGGTAACCGTTACCTGAAATGCGGTTGGGGAACAACAGCTGGGTTAAAAACCTGTCCATTCGTCCATTTGCCTCTAGGAGGAAAACCCCAGGCCAGCTGTACCCCACTTCAAAGGTATCCTGGGCTTGACCAAGAAGCAATGAGTTACCTACTGAAATTGCTCATGGAATAATCAAGATACCTTGACCCCAAGAAAATGACATAGAAATATTGATAAGTATCTGGACACTTGGGATAATAATAATTATTTCCAAGAGTGCTGGATCACAACATTAAGTCCTTTTTTTGGATTCAATGAATACTGCAAAATGTCCTTGACCTGCAAATTGGCATCGTAAGTTGATTACACACTTTTATATATGCTTTACTAGGAAATAAATAGATACTGTTGTTATTTAGGAATTCTGATAAGAGACAAGTTTCATGGTTGTAGATGTACAGTGGGTCACTAAACTCTTTGCACCAACAGAAATAATTATATTTCTTCAAGAGGAGCTCTGCAGGACTAGGGTAGTTTCCACTAAAAATTATGTAACTTCAGACTCAGCAGGAGATTCTGTCTTTGTCTCACTTATCAACTGACACAGATAAGGGTGTGGTGGAAGAATAATGCCAAAAACCATGGCAATTTACGACCTGAATCAGTGAAGAACATGCTGAAAAATGAGGAATAAAAAAATCCGTCTTAAATAAAGTTAATTAAAAATACATAACTAATACCTGTGTTATTAGCTACAATCGGCGACAAAATTGTTGAGACATTGTTCTCAAATACGGTAACTTCAGAGAACATAAGAATCCACACCCCTCCCCTGTCCCCTCCATTCAAAGTTGGGATGTTTCTTGTTTTCTAAAGGTAGCCCGAACAGTGGCACAACATTGCATGGAGGGGATGGGGGAGGAAAAAATATCTTTTCCCCTTTTGAAGTCCGGAAAACGTCAAAAAGCCCATTTAGGGCGAAGTGTCTCAACTCATTTTGTCATTGATTGTAGCTGAACTATGAGCTTTTGAAAGCTAGGAGAGAAAAATAGAAGAACAAAAAAATTAAGTCTTACCAGCAATCCATCTTTTTATCCATTTTATTTCTTCTCCAGTTGAGCTCTACTTTCCTCCTAAAGGCAGACCAGCAAATTATTGATGTAGCTGTACCAGGGGATGCTACGGTGAAACTGAAGGAGAAAGAGAAGATTGAGAAATATCAAGACCTGGCAAAAGAATTGAGAAAACTATGGAAAGTCAAAACAAGAGTTGTGCCTATTGTTATTAGTGCTCTTAGGACAAAAGGATTAGTTGACCATCTTGAAAGCATAGGGGTGAATCTTGATGTGGCTCAGATTCAAAAGACTGCCCTATTAGGAACAGTTTGAATCCTCCAACGGGTTCTCGACTACTAAGGTTGTGCACAGGACTTGTACCAGGACTGGCTACCAGTTGAACACTGAGATTATACATCATCATCATCATCATCATATTAATAATAGTAATAATAATAATAATAATAATAATAATAATAATAATAATAATAATAATAATAACAATAATGATGATGATAATAATTTGTACAGCACTTAGTCCAGTTCTGCTCTAGGTCCTTTAAGTCAATCAATCGATAAAAATAAAATAGTCATAGTAACAACGTCATGCTTTGTAAAAAAGTAAGTTCTTAAATTGTCAAATGAAAAGATGTTGTCTAGTAAACTGTTTCAGTGGCCAGGAGGCGATAAAACAAAAAAAGAAAGTTACTTACCACCAAACTATGGCACTTTCAAACTCTGGAGGACTAGATAACAGCCAGACTTCTCCATTTCAGCTCAGTTATCTACTTTGTGGCAGACCAGTTATCTTAAAACAACCTTACTATTAACTTCAAAAAAAGATAGAAAAGATGAAAAAAAAAATTTAAATCAACGTGTTCCAACATTAAATGTATTATTCAAGGTGAAAATGAAATTCTTGTTACTTCAAATCCTGCCAGTCCACTGATGATGATCACACAGTTGTAAAGGAACAGTTGAAGTATGAGTACTGACTGAGTAAGAGTGTTGAGTGTCCTCGATTTCCTGGAGTTAGGTGGCGGGTTTCTCCCATTGCCAGGTTGACATCACAGAAAAAAGGGCAGACATTAAAGATGCACTTATAGTTGAACATTACAATTAGGGAAGAACAGTTGCACGAGTTTTTAGGTTTCCTCACTTAAGTTGGTTTATTGGTTGACCGGTTTTATGATATCTGATCTCTTGTGTTATGCAGCTTAAGTGATACCGGTCTCTGCTGAAACAGTTCATCAGCAAAACACCACAGACTACACCTTCCACAAGTTCAGTTTTCATTGAAATCCGGCCATACACAAGCATCCAGCCACCGTAAGGAATCCAAACTCCTACAAGTAGTATCTTCCATAAGTTTCCAGTCTGGTATCTGGAATGTATGGGGCACACATATAGTCAGTATGAGCCCTGACTGGGAAGGCACGTTGGGTATCCTGAATTTCCTGGAGTTGGGTGGTGGGTTTCTCTAATTGCCAGGTTGACATCACAGCAAAAAGGGCAGGCATCAGGGATGCACTTGTAGTTAAACACTACAAAAACGGAAGAACAGGTAGCATGAGTTTTTAGGTTCCATACTTGCTGGTTTATTGGTTGACCGGTTCTATGATATCTGAACACTTGAGTTATGCAGATTAAGTGATGCTGGCTTGTGCCAAAACAGTTCATCGGCCAAACACCACTACAACTTCCACAAGTTCAGTTTTCATTGGAATCCGGCCATACNGGTTTCTCTAATTGCCAGGTTGACATCACAGCAAAAAGGGCAGGCATCAGGGATGCACTTGTAGTTAAACACTACAAAAACGGAAGAACAGGTAGCATGAGTTTTTAGGTTCCATACTTGCTGGTTTATTGGTTGACCGGTTCTATGATATCTGAACACTTGAGTTATGCAGATTAAGTGATGCTGGCTTGTGCCAAAACAGTTCATCGGCCAAACACCACTACAACTTCCACAAGTTCAGTTTTCATTGGAATCCGGCCATACCCAAGCATCCAGCATCTGTAAGGAATCCAATCTCATGTACAAGTAGTATCTTCCATAGGTTTCCAGTCTGGTATCTGGAATGTATGAGGCAGACATCAGGGATGCAGAAGTGGATCAATGATCACAAGTGTAGCGGTTCAGTCAATATGAATACTGACTCATTAGGTATGTTGGGTATCCTGGATTTAATGCAGTTGGGTGGTGCTTGAATTCTTCTGATTGTTATGTTGACACCACAAAAAAGAGCAGGCAAAAGGAACAGTTCTGAAAATGTAGAAATGATCGTTGCAGTGAACGCAATGCAATTGGGTAAGGAAGCCTGAAAAAAAAAAAAAAATTCAGGACTTCAAAGGGGGTTTGAAGGTCAATTGACCTGCTCCCAACGTCAGTGGCTTCATAGCTCAGTTGGTAGAGCATCGCATCGGTATCGCAAGGTCACGGGTTCAAACCTCATTGAAGTCCCGAATTTTTTTTCAGGCTTCTTTACGCAATTGCATAAATTATTATTGTGTTCACTGTGACGATCATTTCTTCATTTTCATTTCATTTCCGCAGTTCATATATGATTTATTTCATACATCATTAACAGGAACAGTTTTGTAGTTGAACACTACAAGTAAGGAAGAACTGTTAGTATGAGTTTTCAGGTTTCCATACTTACTGGTTTGGTTGGCCAGTTCTATGATATCTGATCTCTTGTGTTACGCAGATTAGGTGGCACTGGCTTCTGCCAAAACAGTTCATCAGACAATCCACTGCACCTTCACAAGTTCAGCTTTTATTGGAATCTGGCCATACACAAGCAACCAGCCACTGTAAGGAATCCAATCTCATACCTTCTTCACGTTTCCAGACTGGTATCTGGAATGTATGGGGAAAGCATCAGGGATGCAGTTGTGGATCAATGATCACAACAAGTGTAGAGGAACAGTCAGTATGAGTACTGACTAGGTAGGCATATTGGGTATCCTTTATTTTCCTGGAGTTGGGTGGTGGGTTCCTCTGCTTGCTAGGTTAATACCACAGCAAAATTGGCAGGCATCAGGGACGCACGTGATATGTCCCATGATAATGAAACTGATCTGTTGTTAGCTGATAATGTTACCCTTGTAGCTTATTCTTCTGAAGACATTCAACTTCCTAACTGATCCTTTTCAGATGCCAAGTGGTAGACAAAGCTGTACCTAGGTTTTTCCATCCTCTTTTTCCCCATGAGGTTTCAGTAGCAAGTGGTGTTTTGCAAGGAGGGGTTGTTAGCCTGGAGGACTAGGGTGCTGTTTAGTCTGGCCTCTCTCCCTTTGACCAATCCAGCATAGTTGAACCTGCCAGGAACACAAACTCCCGCAGTCATAGCCCTAGGGGTCATAAGGGCACACAAGCCTCCCCGCCACATCGACAAGGCACAGCACCAGGGGAGGGAAGAGCTGTTAACCTGTTTTTAAGATGTTTTCAACCTTCCTTTGTTTCTCTGGATTGGGGATAAGTAACTCCAAGATTATTGTGTTACACGTATATCATTACTTTAAGCTGAAGGACAAGAAGATACACCAGTACTGCTTCATCCCTTTGTGGGTTACAAATATGGTAGTGTCTACCGAAAAACGTATGACACTAGTAGCGAAAATTAATAAAGAATGAATCAGCTCCGATTTTATGTACATCTTACAAGTCAATAAAACTATTACTCATATGAGTAAATCACAACAACTAAAGGAAAAATAGAGGAAGAAATGATGCTGCAATACTACTGTGACTACTGAAACACAAGAAGCCTGGACTGTACTCGGTGACGACATGAAGCCATTGGCGACGAGGAGAGTATAAATCGAAACTGTAAGCCTTGCAACGCTAATGGCTGCTACGTTAGAGTTTCCATATTAAGAAATTGAATTACCTGATGAATATTAACAGTAGAGTTGTGGCTAGCCTCAAACATTCTTCATGTTTACCGTTACTTTTTTTTTCTACAAACCACTTGGTGCGTGGCAGCTAAGCTACTCGCGTGAGATCGAGGCAGAACAGGAGCCCAGACAGACCGCGAAAAAGAAAAGAGAAAAATAGAAGAAGCCGCTCTTTTCTAAACTCCATCTCCTTCGATTTGTTAAACGTACGCGAACGACCGCATTCAAATTCAACTAAAATGGTAAACGCTCCCTCTCTGTGTTTTTCTTTTGTCAGGGGTTGGGTGCGACTAAACGTGGGCTATTCAAGTTTTAGACCCCTTAGAGGAAATCTAATGAGGTTACAACCCGAAAAAAAGGTCTCTTCGGTCTGTTCACCACTCTAAAACATCGTCAAAAAACATTTCTTAGTCAACTTTGGAAGAAAAAAAAAAAAAAGACGTAACCCCTTAGGAAGATTCCCCCATGATAACCAATCGAAATGGAAATTTACTGCGGAAATTTTCGGCTTTGCCACCACCCTACGACGTGGTCCAGTTTTGGCAGGAGCCAGTTTACCGATGCAAAATTAATTTTGCCAAGTCATGAGAATTTTCCAGAAAAACAGAAGATCGTGCAATCGTTTCATCAACTCCCGTCAGCATGACCGCGCATTCCTGGTTCCAGATTTTCTGACGAAACTTCCGGTAAAACCTCCAAATATGGCAATGGGCCCCCGTACCGCGAAGTTTGTTTACATCTTGCACGAGTTGAGTTTGTGTAAAAGAAGGCTGAATCTTCAAGAAAGTACGTCACTCTATATTCGAGAGCTTTGACAACGGGGTTGAAAGCATCAAAATGTCCTTTTTCCCGAGAATTCGTATGCTTTTGCCGGCGGTGCATCGCATTCGGTAAGTTATGGCCCAGCTTTAATTTCTAACACAGCGCGCTTACATGTAGCAAATAAGAAGAAAATTATTTTCCCGGGAAAACCACGAATAAACTAAACATATGGCGAATGCTGTTGGCAAATGCACTACCAGTTTTATCTGCACATGATCTATGCCGGGGCTTAACTTGTTTATAGGCAGCCTTTCATCGATACACAAAATCAGTCTGTCAAATTTTAGAGTTATAAATTTAATATTTGGAAAGATACTGGAAAATAGCTGAAAGTTAAATTTATTTACTTCCATTACATGCCAATACCTAGGAATGCTTCATACCTTTGGCCAAATTATGATCGTTACTTTCCATCCTTATGGGAATCATGGTATACACCTTGGTATACAAAGCCACGAGTTGGAACAAGCTACACTTACATAGAGTTTGTAGAGACGGGGAGGGGAAGGACAAAAAAGAAGAGCTGCACGGATGAAAAAGAACCAGCAACAAAATCAGAGCAAAAGACTCAGGAGGAACTCAAGGAAGATCATGACACCTTCAAGGTAAGCTAATAATAACTAGTCATAATAACTGCAAATTAGGAGAGTTCATTCCACAGACAGGGGTGATAAGGCAAGGGTAAAAACCTGGGCAACTAATACACCATATTCCAAAATGGCAACAATTTTATTATTATTTTATAGTTATGTTAATTGGCCCTCAATGCCTCGATCGCATCTTGAGAGTTCAAAAGATTTTCTAGCTGGAATTGAGGCATCGAGGGCTAATTAACATAAATAATAATATAAAAGAATAATAAAGTATTCACCATTTTGGAATAAGGTGTATGAGAGCAGTGATGACAGCTTAAGAGATGCTGTCTGCTTAATCAACAGGTTTGCTATACAATACAGGATTGGTAATAATGACAACAATGGGATGATGATGATTGCCATAATGAAATGGATGCGACTCCAATGACGATTTCATAATATTCTTATATTATTTTTTTGTCATCAAACAAATAGGTGTCCTTTAATGTGTCAAAGTTCAAGCCAGAGGAAATTACCATCCGCTCGGAAAATGGTGAGTTAGTGGTGGAAGGCAAGCAAGAGGTGAAGAGTGATGATGGTTACTCCACGCGCCATTTTGTCCGTTCATACTCACTGCCCAGGAATATTGACAGAGACTCCTTCAAGTCTCGTTTGTCAAAAGAAGGTATTCTCAGTATTGAGGCCAAAAAGCTGGAGAAGCCTGAGGAAAAGGATTTCATCAAGATTGAGACTGAAAATTGAAGCTTACTGAGACTACTACAGCTGTGATCCAAACCTTTTCCAAGAAAACAACATTGTTATGTTTCGGTGCATTTAAGATAAAGTTAATCTGATAAGAATATGTTGATATTGATTGTTTACTGGTATAAGTTTATTGTATTGGTGTTTTCAGCATTATTGAGTATTTTTAGGATAGAAATAAAGTAACCTATTTGTTAAACAGGTTGTAGGACAAGTTTTAATGTCTCTTGCTGTCTTCAGCTTTCAAAGTAGTCTTTTAAATATACTGTATTTTATCGACTATAAGCTGAGACCATTAGAAACTTTTAACTCTTAAACTTAAGACGATCGTCTTCAAACATAAACACAAAACATTCAGCTATAAGCCGAGACCCACTTCTTAAAACGTATAAGACTCATAAAAAATTTTAATCACAATTAGCTTTTAAAATCTGCTAAAATGAAATGAAAGAACCAGTTAATTACCCAATTCAAATTGCTCGGCTTACAGCAGATAAAATACGGTACCTTTTTTTTCAAAAAATTATCCCTGACAAGTTTAAGAGTTTTTGGTTTGAGCCCCCACCCTGAGCTAATAATTTGGTAATAATTTAGATACTTTGTGAACTGTGTGCAGAGTGAGATGTTATAGAATACAACATTTATTGGTGAAAAATGTCAGAGGAGGTGCAGCAAATTGTTCATATCTAAGTCTGCAAGTTAAATAAAAAATTAATCATTACAGTTACCTAGGATGGTATCGTGGTGCCACGACTAACTTTCGAAACAGATTTCAGGCACTCAGAGTAGTATGTTGAAGATTATTTTGGGTTAGTGGTTCCGTTGGTTTTCTCACAACATTGCAGAGCGAGTACACATTACTCTCTGAACTGACATTCCTTTATTATTGCACCGCAATCTGTGAGACTTACATGCAGGAAGGACCTCAACAATGCACAATAAATAAAAGCAAACAAACAAATTTTCTTTTATGTTAGTTCCTGATAAGGTCCTTTCATTGTTTTTGTTATGTCATTGTTAAGTCAAATCAAGGTTTTCTTCTCTTCCATATGGACGCATGGGCTACAGTCCACTGGTTTTTACGTGCTGTTTCTCTTATGAAAAATGACATGGGTTTATCTTCTATCAGCTCAAAGTCTGGTCCAAGGCACCTTTTAAGGGTATCTAGTCCAGTCACATTTTTCCCTTCAGCATCTTTGAAGCCCCCAAGCCAAAGATTCTGCACAAAGTTAACAAAAAAATGCTTAAATTTATAAAATTATAAAAGATTGGAAAATTTTATCAGCTTTACCATTTGCATTTTAGTGGTCTTTATGAAAATATTTTCAGGGGGTGCAAAGTTAGGAATTTGGACAGAGGATGGGTTTTTTTTCTATGAGGCTGTTTTAAAAAATGGAAGCAGAGAGGAGGGGTGGCATGGAAAAAATTTGGGTCTGTAGAAGAGGTATTGATATTTTATAGAGCCAATCATTATCCTACATCTATCTATGTAATCCAATTTCATTTTCATATAAAAGTTTGTAATCCCATTTCAGTTACATACATGTAGCCTCACTTTTACAGTGTGACCGGGAAAACCGTGAACACTTGAAACATTTCAGGAATGTTTATTGTGTTACGACCAATCACAACAAAGATCAAGACATGCGAGCAAGCCACAGAACCACAAACTAATTAACATTCTTGCTTGCGGTTTAGTTTTCTCAGGCCTGATTGGCTTTTTTATTGCACCATAATAACATTCCAGAAATATTTCTGGTGTTCACGGTTTTCCCAGTCTGACTGTAAAATAAAGAAAAGAATATTAACTTAATTGAAACCCAGTTATGTAATGACCACAGAATTGGTAAAAATTGCTTTCATTTTTTCAATCGAAATGAAGTTTTTTGTTCAGGTTTTTTTCAACTTACTTTTGGAGTAAACTCTTCCATCCAAGAATTGGGTGATGTAATGACCAAAGTACCACCAGGAGCTACAAGAGATGGCAACCTCTCAAGAAACTGATATGGATTAGGAAGACGGCAGACTAAGTTTGCAGCAAGAACACAGCCAAATTGTCCTAAGTCAGTTGGCAAGTTACAAGCATCTCCTTGATAGAAGGAAACACGACTTCTGTCCTAAAATGGTCAACAAATTTGATAAAAAGGGTTAAAAAGTGTGAAGTTGGTATTTAAGGAGTCACTGTATGCGATTAAAGAAACACTGCCCCATAGCAATGATCAAAATAATTATTAGTCATGCAAGCTGTTGATTGGTAAAAATGCAGCAGAAAAAACCACATGTACCAAACCTCAGTTAATGAGTAGATCACCTTTATATCTCCTCCAAGAAAATACATTCAAACCCCGCTTTATGAACACCCAATAAATACAGATATTTCAATATTATTAACAGTTTTCTTTGTTCCTGGGGGAAGAAAGCCCCTTCATTTTCTCCAAATTTAATCCAGTTAATATGGACATTTTCTATGGCCCACTCAGTGTCTGTATTAACGGAGTTTGACTGTATAGAGAAATATGCCCCTAGAGTTGTCTGATAGCCATCTCCAATGTTCAAGCTCTAAGGAATACCCCTCTAACTTATGGCCAGGAAAGGGGGAAGGTGCGCAGCAATTCCGTAAATTTTAAGGTTGTGTATGTGCCACTGGGAACCTGTCTCCTAAGCAAAACACTTTCAATTGATTTCCTTACCCACTCCCAGCCTACACTGCTAGAAAACCACACCCTTCACAGTGGCACAGCCTCCCTTAGAGAAAGAAAAAAAAAGCTCTTTTTCAAAGCCAACTGCAATTATCCACGTGATTTTATAGCCCCTTGATGTGGCTATATCATATTGTATGTGTACATGTAACAGACAAAAATAATAATACATTATTTCAGTTTATTTATAAAAAGGAACAGCCAAAAACGTTTTGTGTGAATTCTCTGGGACTGTTCTTGTAAAGCATATTATAGGAGATAATTTTCAAGGTCAAAAAATAGCAAGATGTTCTATTTTGCACACACATGACCTAAAATCTGATAGATACTTACACTAGTCTCAAACATCTCTGAGTGGATTTGAGTAAGGAAGAAAAGCACAGTTGCAGATTGATTTCACCAGTCTTCAGTGAAGGTGCCATTTTAAATTATATTTTATATCATTAACTCTTTATTTTCTAAAAGCCATATAACTTTTTAATAATAACTATTCACTATTATTATCTTTCAAGTTAAGGTGAAGAATCTATAAATTTCATGATGCCGGAACCGTGGATTGAAGAAATGATTGACTGTAAAGAAGATCATCACATCCACTGTTGACGATATCACTTAACCGCAATGATCTTCTTTACATTTATTATTATTACTATTTTTTTTATTTTTATAATTTGATGCCTTATATACATTTCTACTTACAATATCCGGGTCAACCGCTGCTACATGTTGGGAGACAAGACTTCCTTCAGTTTGCGCAGTGTAGGGTAACTTTCCATAAGTTTTAAGCTTATTAGCAGCATTTATGAATCCATGGGAAAAATCAATACCTATAACTTGATTAAATTTCTTGGCAAGTTCAAACGTTGACCGGCCAACAGCGCAGCCAATATCCAGAGCTATGCTTGGTACATCATCCTGCAGAAAGTTTAAAAGGCAAAAAAGTCTATTGCCACAAGCATAGCATTCAACGCATGTAAGGGAATCCGGATTTTGGAATCCATGACTTTTTGCTTGGAGAATCAGGAAATTATCGGGGAAATTTTTTATTAGTGGAATCAAGAATCCTAGGATTTGGAATCTGGAATTCAGTTCAAGGAATCCGGAATCCCTCTTACGAGTGGTATCTGGAATTCAGTACCTGGAATCCGGAATCCATGGTGTGTAATCCAGAATCCAAGACTGTCTAGATGTTGAATTCCCTTACATGTAGTATTTATGAGACCGTAAGAATATCATGAATTGCAAAATTCTGGCATAAGAGTTTTTCTTCTCTGTCGCTCTGTAGCCTCTTAGTAGCTCCAATATTTATAGAAAAGAAATCCTGAGAATAGAATAATTCTCTCGTTTTGCAAGCACGTTTTTATAAGCTTATTACGTAAGGTTTGATTACATGACAGTTTAACACTAAGAACGTATCATTGTTATTATATAAGATCAAAGACTCACCTCAGTATGTTTTATACATTCCAACGCACATCGCGAGGGAAACTCAAGCGAATCCTTCGGTCCAAATCCATAGGGTAGCAGCTCATCTTCTGTGCCATAATGAAATATAAGGTACTCTCCGATCAACTTTTCTGTCTCGTACACATTTTCACTGGCTTCATGTCTTTTAGAAAGGTAACGATATGCTATAACCGTCAACGCCGATGCAGTTATAGCACCTGCAGAAGCAATCAAAAGATGTTTCTCCATGATTGAAACAGGTTGCAGTTCACTAAACGTCGATAGAGCGGGAGGGGCACGTGCAAACTAGCGACTGCAGTATGATGCGTTCTGCGGATTGCGCCGACCGGAAGTAAAGCATGAAAAATCGAAAAGTACTTTTAAAATTTTTATAGCCCAGTAAGGTCGGAGATTGATACAAATATCGAGAGGAGAAAACGAAATGAAAACAAAAATTTAAAAACCAAATAAACCAAAATAAAAAAAGGAAAAAAAATAAAGTGGAGATACGGGGAGTCGAACCCCGGGCCTCTCGCATGCGAAGCGAGCGCTCTACCACTGAGCTACATCCCCGAACGCACCCTATCAAGTAAGAATTTGTCTTTATATTGTTTAGGGCAGGCTAATGGGGACTGGCGCCTAATCAGATTACATTTGACAGAAGAACTGGGCCGGGTTGTTCAAAACCCAGGGTTTGTGGAGTTAGTGCGAAATTTGAATTCAGATACGAAAGTTTACAAAGAAATTTNAACGTATCATTGTTATTATATAAGATCAAAGACTCACCTCAGTATGTTTTATACATTCCAACGCACATCGCGAGGGAAACTCAAGCGAATCCTTCGGTCCAAATCCATAGGGTAGCAGCTCATCTTCTGTGCCATAATGAAATATAAGGTACTCTCCGATCAACTTTTCTGTCTCGTACACATTTTCACTGGCTTCATGTCTTTTAGAAAGGTAACGATATGCTATAACCGTCAACGCCGATGCAGTTATAGCACCTGCAGAAGCAATCAAAAGATGTTTCTCCATGATTGAAACAGGTTGCAGTTCACTAAACGTCGATAGAGCGGGAGGGGCACGTGCAAACTAGCGACTGCAGTATGATGCGTTCTGCGGATTGCGCCGACCGGAAGTAAAGCATGAAAAATCGAAAAGTACTTTTAAAATTTTTATAGCCCAGTAAGGTCGGAGATTGATACAAATATCGAGAGGAGAAAACGAAATGAAAACAAAAATTTAAAAACCAAATAAACCAAAATAAAAAAAGGAAAAAAAATAAAGTGGAGATACGGGGAGTCGAACCCCGGGCCTCTCGCATGCGAAGCGAGCGCTCTACCACTGAGCTACATCCCCGAACGCACCCTATCAAGTAAGAATTTGTCTTTATATTGTTTAGGGCAGGCTAATGGGGACTGGCGCCTAATCAGATTACATTTGACAGAAGAACTGGGCCGGGTTGTTCAAAACCCAGGGTTTGTGGAGTTAGTGCGAAATTTGAATTCAGATACGAAAGTTTACAAAGAAATTTTTATCTCCACGTTGGTGTTTGGAAACTCTAAAAGAGACTGAGAAAATTTTCCTAGAAAATACTTTCGCACAACAACAACAAAAACCTGGATTAAAATTTAATTTTATCATTGGTTGATTCATGACAGGATAGAAGACCTCTGGATCTCAGGTCGAGGATGATTGCCGAGCTGCACCCGACCGAAAGGCATTTTTTCCATTTTCGCGCAACATGCTCTGGTTTAAAATATTTTTAACCTAGACTGACTCGCAAGTTTCTTTGTATTCTGGGCTAAGAAACAACGAAATAGGAAATAAATTTAAGTCAAAAACAAAAATTAACCTGAAATCAAACTTGACCTGTAACATATACATCCACAACCCAGTAAACTTTGAATTCTTAACTTTTGATAATACCCCTATTGGCTTGAAGTCATCGAAACGTTAAGTTTCTTTTTTATTGTTTAATTTTGTTCTAAAATAAAAAAATGAAAATAATAATAAAAAACTCCTAACTACAAACTTCAATTAAAACTACACATCTATGATTATAGACGTCACTGAAGGCAGTCTGAGGCTACCAAGGTTTAAATAAACAAGAAGTACAATTTAAATAATTATACAAGTTTCCTTACTAATGGTTTTCTACGATAAATCATAATTCTTCAAAAACAAATGAGCCACTAAAAATATTTAACAGCGGCAATGGCATAAGGGCAGCCCAGGAAACACGAAAGCGTCATAGTTTTCTGTTCTTACTGGAAGTGTCTTCTCGGGATCCCGGATTTGACCGTAATGTAGTGGGGGATTCGGGAAAAAAAGCTAAATTTCTCGATAGAATACGGGATTTGAACGCTACTCGGTAAGCGGGACTTGCTAAAACCTTAGCACTGAGAAAGAGGACGGCATTCGGGATGGAGATGACAAAAGTTCGGGATGCGGGATTATCGTGAAAAAATAGCGGGAATAGGGGATCAGGATTCCACCCTTTCCAAACCCAGTACTCAGTCTGACTAACCCCTCCTTTGTAGTCAATGTCATTTTAATCCGGCAAAGGTGGCTATAGATTGAGAGAAGGGAGGGCAAAGGGGGATTATGAAACGAAATTTTGATCGGTCATACACCAATAGAGCGGTTTTCATTTGAGTGTCGAAAAGTAATTGGTTTTGCACTTTCTACACGATGCGATTGGCTTAAAAGATTCGCGCCACCTTTTCATCCAATCAGAAGTAAAACCAAAGCCAATTGTGACGCGCTCGCATGCATTTTCCCGCGCTTTGCGTCAGCCACATGTAATTACTTCGAGTTTTGATTGGTTCAATGTATTGTCTGTGTCCT